AGCCCATTGTGAGTGGAGATGCCTTTATAAAAAGCAAGCCGGGCGGTGGTGGCACACGCCTTTAATCCCAGCACTCGGGAGGCAGAGGCAGGAGGATCTCTGTGAGTTCAAGGCCAGCCTGGTCTACAATGCAAGTCCAGGAAAAGGCACAAAGCTACACAGGGAAACCCTGTCTTGGAAAAAAAAAAAAAAAAAAAGAAAGCAAGCTGAGTAAGCCATGAAGAGCAAGATGGTAAGTACCACTCCTCCATGGCCTCTGCATCAGCTCCTGTCTCCTGCCCTGTTTGTGTTCCTGTCCTGATTCTTCTGATGGTGATCAGTGATGTGGAAATATGAACAAACTAAGGTCTTTCTTGCTCAACTTCCTTTTTGTCATGGTGTTGCAGCTCAGTATCTGTAACCCTAACTAAGAGAAGAGCCAGTTCTTTTCTAGTGACAAATCTGCCACACACAGTGCAGTGTTTGGTGGCAGTTACTCCCAACTCTAAGGAAAACTCTTGGGAGTGATCATGGGTATTAACAGGGTTACAAGAAGTAAAGGTTCTCTGTCCATGGGGCACCTAGAATGGCTACATTGGCCTCACATGTACCAAGGGAGGTTGGGTTCAGCCCTCACAGGCTCAGAGACTCACAGGCTGTGTATTTGTCAGGTTGATCTGTCTTCTCTAGGACAACGCTCATCTCTCGGCACTCTCCTGCAATCCTGGAAGACAGAGGGTCTGTGAGACACATTACCCAGCCACACACCTTCCCTCCTGGCGGCACCCACAACATGGTCTACAGGTGCCTGCTTCCAAGGGGGCCACGGGAGTGCAGGCTTCACTGAGTCCCAATTATGTTTCCAGCAGGCCTCCTGAGTCACATGTTCCAATCCCCTGGCTCCCACAGTGACCCAGTTCTGTGTCATGCCCCTGCTGGCTGCACCCTGACAACCTCTTGCTCACTCCCTTTGGGGACCCTAGGCTACTTGGATTGTAGACATTGTCTGGAGTAAGCCCTTCCTGCCTAGCCTCCATGCTGTGTGGGCCCTGTGGCTCAGCCTCTGTCTCTGGAGATATTTAGGGACCAGCCCCACCATCAGTGTCACCTGGCCTGTTGAGGGAACTCTTCAGTGAGTGGGATTGGGGGAAAAGAACAAAGGGCAGACTCCAGGGTAACTGCCAGGTCAGAGTCTGCCCAAATGTCGGATTCCGTGAAGACAGCACAGACACTGCCATGTTGTCCAGGGGCCACTAAGGTGACAGGAGCCCGAATGTCACATCAGACACGAGGGTAGAAGCCACACAGACGGGAGGTCACAGGTGTGAGACCACACAGGTGAGAGTCGACACAGAGAAGAGGTCACACAGAGGACAGGTCACACAGTGATTGGCCACACAGGTGGTAGATCACACAGGTGGGAGAGGCTGGGATTTCGGTGTCTCTTTGGAGCCTGAAAAGCTTTCTCCATAGGGCCCCATACACACTCTCACTCACTCTGAAATCCCAGGCTCTGCCTCTCTCCCAAGCAGAATTTCACATTGGAGGGTGAACAGGCCCAGACTGCATGTTCACACTGGGTCTAAGAGTGAAACCCTTCTCCAAGGGCCTGGGTCACTGACAAAGGATATCCCATCAGAATAGAAAATGGGTGCCCCTTGTAGCTGAGATATTTTCTCTGGGCCTCCCACCATCACGAGATCCTCTCTAAGCTGAGGCACCCTCAGTGGTACTGTTGCCCCCAGCTCAGCCTCCAGCTCTCCTGTGTGGGGAATCAAAGGCCAAGAAGAATGCTACCATCTCAGCGGGCACACACTCACTGGACAGTGAACTTGACTTCAAGGTTGCCCTCTTCCAGGGTCTTGATGGTCATGGGAGTCACAGACACAGAGCCGAGCATCTTTTTAGGAATCTTCTTGTCAGATGCTGTAGCTTTCACATACCACGTTCCTGACACCTGGAGAAGGCACCTGCCCATCAGGACTCAGGTAGACCCCAGGACCGCCCCTAGTCCTTAGTCCCTGACTCTACCTTGTCTTCCAAGTTGTAGACAAGTGAAACATATTCCAGGCTCCCTTTCTATTAACCCATTAAATAAACTAGCTCTACCAGGGTGGTGTGGTCTCCACCCCTTGCAGTTATGACACTATCTCAGACCCCTGCACTCCCAGAGAACAGTGAAGAGAGCTGGACTCTGGACTCTGACCTCCTCCAGCCCTCTGCACCCAGAACCATCTGACCAGATCCTTGTGCTGTGTCTGACATTCCCTCAGAGTAGAGCTTCAAGCCTCACTCTAAAATGATGTCTCTTTAGATGAAGAAGGAATGGGGGCTCTAACTGTCAACCTCAGCCCCCCTATCTGTCATAAACCCCCTTGAAGCCCCTGCCCATGTCAGCCTCACATCATGACTCTCTTCCACAGCAGGGTAGACCTGGGCCTGCAGGGCCACAACAAGGCCCAGGCCAAAGCTCAGGAGCAGGGCCTTCATCTCCACAGTCTGTGCTCACAGGTGCCCAACAAGTCACTTGACAGGCTGAGGAGGCTGTGCTGGGGCCCCACTCAGCTGCCCTTTATACTGCTCACCCCGGGTCCCCAGGGAACTTGGCAAGGACGACTGACCAGTCCCTTCCTGGCCATTCATCATGGCCAGGTCTTCAGTGGACCAAATAAAATGTCATCATTGTTGAAAGTTGCTAGAGAACACTCATAGCTCAAAGGATGATGGGACAGGGCTCCTTGCAGATTTGCCCTGGCAAGAAAGTGAATCTGAGTTAGAGGTGCAACCTCCCATGTCAGGATCCCGTGGGGGTGAGTAGAGCAGGATGGAACCCCTCCTGCACACACTGTGGTCATCCAGCTGGCTGACATGCTCATTGACACACAGGAGGCCACCGAAGCCAGACAGTCTTGTGCTCCATTCTCAGGAACCTTCCTCAATCCCAGGGCAGGATACTGAACCTTAGATTCATCTTGGAAAAAGAGGAAAGTGAGGCCTGCTGTGTGACTGTCAAAATGTGTGCTTAAAGATGTGTCCCCTCCTCAGCAAGGTGTGTGCACTAGTCCCTGACCATATGTGGAACAATGATGGGTCAGACACAGGAAGCAAGCAAGCAGGCCTGTGTGAGCACATGTGCACACAGGCACACATGTACACACAATGGCAATGGGACAGAATCAGAGGTAGATCTGGAAAGGTGGCTCAGCAGTTAAGAGCCCTTTAAAGATGCTCTTGCAGACGACCTGGGTTCAGTTCCTAGCATCCGTATGGTGCCTCACAACCTCCTGTAACTCCAGCACCAGGGTACCTGACATTCTCTTCTGCCCTCTACAGGGTTTGACATGCACATAGGGCATATAAATTTATCCAGCCTCATAAAGATACAAATAAATAAAAAATTAGTGAAAAACTAAACAAAACAAAAACAAAACACAGGCTGCCATAGGGTCCAAGGCCTCTAGGCTGGCAGGACCATTGTCATAGTTAGGATTAGTATTGTTATAATGAAACCCCATAACCAACACAACTTGGAGAATAAAGGGTTTATTTGGATTACAGTTCAGAATCACTGTATTCATCATTGAAAGAATTCTGGACAGGAGCACAACCAGGATGGGCACCTGGAGGCAGGAGCTGATGCAGAAGCCATTGAGGAATGCTGCTTATGGAGTTACTCAACATAGCTTACTCATCCTGCTGTCTGACGGAACCCAGGACCTCCAGCCCAGGTTTGATTTCACCAACATTGGGCTTGGTGCTTCCCCAACAATCACTAATTAAGAAGATGACCTATAGGTACAGGGTTGCCCTCAGCCTGATCTTTTGGAGGCATTTTCTCAGTGGAGGCTCTCTTCTCTCCAGTGACTCTAGCTTGGGTCAAGTTGACATAAAACTAGCCAGCACAATTGACCCCTTGTCAACTTGATACACAAACATATCACTGTTAAGTCACGACTTTTCCTTTATTTTTCATCCCCAAGTAAAAAAATAAGTGAAACACTTTCTTACTTCAAGAGGGAAGAACTAGGGTACAGTCATAGTCTGAATAAAGGAAAAATGAAACTCCATTTGTGTGAATAACTGAATGTCCAGTGTCTGGGATCCACTCACAATCTTCTGGGCTTCTCCGAAGTGCCTGGGTCTCTTCTCCGGCTCCACCCTCTACAGCACACACAGCTCGTCTTCTAGGCTCCAGCAGGCTCCACTCCACTGCTGCTGCTGTTCTTGGTGGTCATCCCATGGTGCTGGCATCTCCAAAGGCCGGCTCTTCTGCTGCCCTTCCATCAATAGCCTCTCCTGGGCTCTCTTCAGGGACTCCAGCCCTGCCACATTGTGCCAAGCCTCAGCTCTTCACTATGACCCCTTCATGCCTTGTACAGCAGTATCTCCTGGCTGACTCTTATGCTACCAAGTTGGGCTGCCAGCATGAGGTACGACCTGAGTTGCCTCTGAAACACAGTTGTGTGCTGACCCTGAGGAAACACTTTCCAGAAGACTTAACCTCAGTGATGCTGCTCTCTTCTAAGTTACTGCTAATTTCTCAGCCACACCTGACCAGACTCCACAGATTCTTCACACAAATGGTTCAGTAGTCTTTCCTTCCCTCTGAGACTTCACAAGCCAGGCCTCCATCACCTGCACCTGCTCTCAGCATTCTTATTTTCCAGCCTCCCACAGAACATCTCACTAATTTTGAGCCCTCAATGACGTTTCTAGCCCAAAGTTCCAAAGTCTTTCAACAATCCTCCACAAAGCACATGGTCAGATCTGTCACAGCAAGACCCCACAATCTTGGCACCAACTTCTGTCTTAGCTGGGGTTACTATTGCTCTGATGAAACACCATGACCAAAAGCACCTTGGGGAGGACAAGGTTTGGCTCACACTTCTACATCACTGTTCATCATTGAAGGAAGTCAGGGCAGATAACTGGAGGCAGGAGCTGATGCAGAGGCCGTGGAGGAGTGCTGCTTATTAGCTTATTCCACGTGGCTTGTTCAACCTATTTTCTTTTCTTTTTTCCAGGGAAGAGAATGATTGCAGTCCCCCACTACCACAAATTATGCAGTTGAGTTTTCCACGTTTGGGGAAATCACAGGGTCAGTACATCCAGAGTGCAATGCATAAGCCTCACCCTGGGAAAACCACCTTCAGGGTACCTCCCCTGCCAGGTAAGTATTCAATTTGTTTTTTTACAGAACACAAGACCTCCTGCCCAGGGACTGCCCCACCCACAGTGGGTTGGGCACTCTCCCATTGATCACTAATTAGGAAATGTTCTACAGGCTTGCCTACAGCTGGATCTTATGGAGGCATTTTCTCAGTTGAGGCTCCCTTCTTTCCAGTGACTCTAGTTTATGTCAAGTTGACATAAAACTAGCCAGCACAGTAGGGGTCTGTCTCTCCAGGGGTGAAAAATAGTCTTCCTGGCTACAGAAGGACGGTTGGCAGCCCTTCCTGATAGATCCCCTGGGTGAACTGACTAGTCATTACACAATTGGGGTAAGGGGAGCGGCAACCCTTGAACGCCCCTCCCCTGCTCTGGCCCCAAGACAAAGGAAGATATAGATGCAACCTCCAGTACAGGGACTGGGACAAGCCAGGCTGTGATGGTGGCAAAGTGCATGAAGGATTTTCTTCACATGATTTGGAAAAAGTCAGAGAAATAGCGAAGGGACAACATTGATGAGAAGGTGAGAGAAGAGGACACCCAGAATGCAGTGCTTTGTGAAGAGATCACAAACAGACAGGAAAGGCTGGCAAGACCTCAGAGCCCTGAGGCAGACACAGTGTGATGAATGTTGACAAGATGAGGTGGCCAGAAAGAGTCCTCGTCTGTGAGCTTGCTGTGGTGACCTAGGACTCCAGGTTCTGCTGTCTCCCACAGATTCCAGACTGTTCCCATGTGGGCTATTCCACGCACAAGCAAGGAGTCCATTACTCACGTGATTTTATAGAATTTGCCACAGTCATCTGTCTTTGTGGTTTAGGTTTGTAGGTAAGGGGTGTGTGAAACCAACAGTCACGTCAGATTGCACCCATCTTTACCATATGGTCTTGCCTTTCAGGAGCATTCCCAATTTCAGGAGCTTTGTGCCAGAACCCCTGGTTTCCTGTCCCAAGAGACCTTTAACCACAGAGGGATCTCACCGTACAGCCTCAGGTGGACGGTATGTCATGAAACAGAATGGTCCCATTTCTTATCTGCTGGCAGAACTTACAAGGACATCGGTGCCAGAAGCTGCGTGCTCCCCTCATCCTCTCAATTAATGATGAGAAATGAATTTGATTTGAACTCCACAGCAGAGCAAAGACTGAAGCGGTTCTGCTCTACTCACAGGAAACAGTGTGATGTCAGTTCCGTAGGAAGCCGGAGTCAAGGAATGGTGGTCACAGGGCAGAAGGGGTTTCAAAGAGGCTAGCCAGGTTGTGTAAGTGAGTAGAAATGATCCGCCCATGTGATCCTGTTTGTTGGAGTTCTGAGCTTTCTTTTTAAAATTCATTTACTTTGATCTTATGAGTGTCTACTTGCATGTGTACATGTGCAGCCACATACATGCCTGGTGCCTAAGGAGGGCTGAGAAGGGTATCAGATCCCCTGGAACTGGTCTGGTGTGCAGAGAGCCATGAGCTAGCACGTGAATGCTGGGAATCAAACCTGGGTCCTCTGAAAGATCACCAAGTGCGCTTAACTGCTGAGCCACCTCTCCAGCCTCTCCATATATATTGTGTTCAATGGCTTTTGAAAAGCTAATGTCCCAAAGCCACAGAGGGCAGCAGAGGATCAGAAACTCATTGTAAGGGGGCTGTGGATAGAGTCTCTCCCCTCCTCCCCCAGATATACACAGTGCTGACAGGACAGGCTTTATTTATTTATTTATTTATTTATTTTAATTTATTTTTTTATTTTTTTATGTTTTAAAGATTTATTTATTTAGTATGTATACAGTGTTCTGTTTGTATGTATGTCTGCACACCAGAAGAGGGCACCAGATCTCATTGTAGATGGTTGTGAGCCACCATGTGGTTGCTGGGAATTGAACTCGGGACCTCTGGAAGAGCAGTCAGTGCTCTTAACCTCTGAGCCATCTCTCCAGCCCTATTTATTTTTTTATTAAGAACTTATTTACTCATTTTATGTACCAATCACAAATCCCCTTCTTTCTTCCTCCTGCCCCTCCAGCTTCCTCCCCCAAACCCCCCCCCCCCCATTCCCTTCTAAGAGAAGGTAAGGCCTCCGGTGGGGAGTCAGCAGAGCCTGGTACATTCAGTAAAGGCAGGTCCAAGTGGGCCCCCCCTCCCAAGGCTGTGTGAGGTGTCCCACCATAGGTAGTGGACTCCAAAAAGCCTGCTCATGCATCAGATGGATCCTGATCCTACTGCCAGGGGCCCCCTTAAGCAGATCAAACTACACAACTATCTCACTTATGCAAAGGGCCTAGTCCAGTCCCGTGGAGGCTCTACAGCTGTTAGCCTAAATTTCATGCTTTATTTTTTATGTTTTTTTTTTGAAACAGAGTTTCTCTGTAACTTTGGAGCCTGTCCTGGAACTCACAGAGATTCGCCTGTCTCTCCCTCCCAAGTCCTGGGATTAAAGGTGGGCGCCACCACTGCCTGGCTCCAGGACAGGCTTTAAACAAGAAATCTTAAATAGCTGAGGACAAGTCATGCCAGTCCCAGGGTAAAAACCTTGTCCTCCTCCTCAGACACAGTTCCCCCCAGGAAGCCGCAGATGGACTTCAGGGAGCTAGCTGAAGGCTGTCCCTAGTTCTGCAGTTGACACATGACTACACAGGGCTGGCTCTCAGAGCAGGTTGAACATGAGCAGCTTTCATTCTACTTCCCAAGGTCCACTGAGCTCCCAACTCCACCAGGCTGTCTATGTCAGTGTCTCTATTAGATGTCCTGCCTGTCCCCAGAGGAGTTCAGGGTCCTCAAAGTGTGTCTGACTTTCAACTCTGTGTGTCTCTCCATTACTTTCTGCAGCCCTCTGCCATCCCTAACACATTCCCTGGGTCAGGAAGGGCCTGACTACCCAGTCTTTAGGGAACTTAGAATTAGGACCAGTCCCACCCATTAACCCACCCTACCCCTGTCTCCATCACAGGTCTGGCTCTCTGTCCCAAGAGGCACTGCTGCATAGACAGGTCAGGACTAGCACCTCATCTTTCCAGGCCGAGGCTCAGTAAATGCTGTCTGAACTTCGCTGAACTGAATTGCAGGTACCTGAGGTGATGGGATCTGCACTTGGCTCTGAAGCTGAGCATGGGGTCCAGAGGCCAGAGTATGTTTGTGTACAGAGGGAATTGTGTTCAGTGAAAGGCTGTATTTGCTTTCTGGCTCTTTCTCCTCCAATTCCTGCCGGACTATGGCTAATCTGAACACAGGGCACTTTATAGAATGGCTTGGGCCATGTCACAATAAATGTCACACAAATGGGAACATGCCTGGAGGTTACTTCACCCAGGAGCCAAGTAATGTCCATGGATGCGGTCTGGGGGAAGCTGTGCCAGCCTTACCTTGGGTGCCTCATGCTGGAACTCCACAGTCACTTAACACTCTGTTCCAGAAGGCTGGACATCCCAGTGGAGTCAATTGGCCATAAACCCCATAAACCAATGGAGAGGGAGGGACCTCACTTGGAAGCACACATAGTTCTTCCCTTCCTTGCTTTCCTGGAGTTCCAGCTTAATAATCACCCAAAAGTGTTATAACCAGGGAGACACGGAAGTCTCCAGGAGTGGGGGGGGGGGGAAGCAAAGGGAGGGAGGCCTGGAAGGAGCCACTAAGCAATATTGAACCTCTTAAGGATATCTCCTGGGAAACTGAGGCTCAGTTGAGCCTGACCCAGGTCTCTTCCCATCTGGCCTCCACCTCTACATACAGACAACTGTTGTGTGGGGCTGGAAATGGCTAAGGAGGGCCCTTCAGACCATGAGCCATATGGAAGACGCCCACCTTGTGTATCTTGCCACCTGAGCTGGTCCCCAGACAAACACCAGGAAGTGCTCTGTGGGGCAAGCCCCATGAACGTGTCCGTGCTGTGGTTTGTCTAGATAGGCCTGTGGAAGAGGAGGGGACCCAGGACTATGGCCATTTAAGTTCCTCATTGTCTAACCAGGGCTCTGCCATCCTTGACCCCTTTTCTAAAAAAAAGGGGAGGCAAGGTTGAAAACAGTGAGTGAGGTGCTGACCCACCCAGAGGCTAATCAGACTCCAGGTTCATCCCTGGTCAGCACACGGAAGAGCCGCGACCCTTGCCAGATGTTGCCCTGCAGACCTCCTGCCCCATGCCTTTCACAGGAGGGTCCATGCCCTCGTTCTGAAGAGGCATGCAGGTGCTGAGCATGGCTGAGGCTCCCACTCCCCTACAGACTCACTCTGCCCCCACTCAGGAATATGAATTGCCCCACCTTTTAAGACCACCTCTCTCCTTTCTTCTGATTTTGTGAGCCCCGAGTTGTGACCATCCACCAAGTGATTCACTATAAGCCAAAGTGCTCATGGGAAGGCTGCCTGTCACACAGTGAGGGACACAAAGACGACATTCAGTTCCCATTGTTGAAATTTCAGATTTCCTAGTGATTTGTACAAACACAGAAAGTGCTGTTTATATTATATGCAACACCATATATTTGCATTATAGATACTTTTAGATTTTTTAAAAAAAATGAAAATTGTTTATAAACTCAATGCACCCTAAACTCTCCCCTGAGGCTGAGCTGGGTCACCATGGAATGTACGGTTCATTGGGAACAATTTACCTTTTTTTTTTTTTTTTTTGGTTTTTCGAGACAGGGTTTCTCTGTGCAGCTTTGCGCCTTTCCTGGAACTCACTTGGTAGTCCAGGTTGGCCTCGAACTCACAGAGATCCGCCTGGCTCTGCCTCCCGAGTGCTGGGATTAAAGGCGTGTGCCACCACCGCCCGGCTGGGAACAATTTACCTTTTTACTGTAGTTTCTTGCTGACTTCTTTGCTCTCCACTCAAGTTGTGTCCCTACAGCCACCTCCAGGGCCACTGGCCTCTCCCATTCATGTACTGTGTAAATTCTGGAGTTTCCCAGCATCTTGAATGAGGCACACACAGAAGTACTGAGCAGATGTGCATGTTGGGATTGTGTAAGTGCAGGAAGCAGGGTCTTTCTGGGGCTGATGGTGGCACTATTGGTGGCTGCCTAG